GCGCCGCTCCCCGGGGCCCCCCGCCTGCCCGGCCCCGCAGCCCCGGCCCCCGCCGCCCCCGCCCCCGGGCGAGAGGACGCCGGCCGAGCGCGCCTACGCCAAGCCGCCCAGCCACCACGTGAAGGCCGGCTTTCAGGGCCGCCGCAGCTACTCGGAGATGGCGGAGGGCGCGGGCTACGCGGGCGCCTCCCCGGCCTGGCTGCAGGCCGAGGCGGCTACGCTGCCGAAGCCTCGGGCCTACGGGGCGAGCGACCTCTACGGGCCCGGCCGGCCGCTCAGCCCGCGGCGCGCCTTCGAGGGCATCCGGCTGCGCTTCGAGAAGCAGCCGTCGGAGGAGGAGGAGTGGGCCCTGCCCACCAGCCCGCCCAGCCCCGAGGCGGGCACCATCCGCTGCGCCTCGTTCTGCGCGGGCTTCCCCATCCCCGAGTCGCCCGCCGCCGCCGCCTATGCCCACGCCGAGCACGCGCAGTCCTGGCCGTCTATCAACGTGAGTGGGGGCGCCGGCGGGGTTGGGCTCCGGCCGGTCAGTGCCCAGGTTAAGGGCACAGACTTGAGAGTGACAGGTCTGGATTTGATTCCGGACCTCACCGCTTAGCCGCTGTGAGGCATTGGACGAGTTACTTACCCTCTCTGGTCCTCAGTTTTCTTATCTGCTTGATGAGGGCAGTGATTATATGATCTAATTCCATTAGAGGGTTCCTGAGAGGGAGGCAGGGAGCCTAAAGCCCTCTGCTGTGACTCTAGTGATGGAGGCCGTGATGACCGCCACAGGTCTGGGGTCCACACGGGGTCGGGCCTGCTCATTCAAGTTCCCTCCATTTGGCCTCAGAGCCCCTGCTCTTTACCTGCTGTCCTAGAAGACAGCCTGTCTTGGGCTCTATCATTTCACTGAAATAATGAGTTTCCTGAATGTCAGAGCCAACCCTTGCCACCTGGAAGGACCAAAATATATTCCAAAGCCAGATAGAAAATTATTTTTGGGTTGTACATTGTTTGTGATTATCCATCGCTTTGAGTTATCTGGGAGCCGTGTCTTAGTCACTCTGGGGGCATGTCTGGGTCTTGGCTTCCCTCATTACTGCAGGTGCCCTGGCAGGCTGAGCATACACACCTCCTGGGGTCCTAGGCCCTGGGTTGGGGGAGTGGATGCTGAGCTGGTGGAAGGCAGGCAGGGAGGGCGGAGGAGGAGTGATGGTGGGGACAAAAGGTAACCAGGCCTTCTCTGCATGGTACAGTCTTCCCTGCCCTGGGTCTCGGGAAAGGGCAGGCTGGGCTGTGGGGACCACGAAGGAGGGTTGGGGACCATAAGTGACTCCCCTCTCTCTCCACAGCTGCTGATGGAGACAGTGGGCTCAGATATCCGCAGCTGCCCCCTCTGCCAGCTCGGTTTCCCTGTTGGGTACCCAGATGATGCCCTCATCAAACACATTGACTCCCACCTGGAGAACAGCAAGATCTAGGGTGCCTCCCCCACCCACTGGCTGTTTGTCCATCTTCTCTCATCACCCCCAAACACTCACTCACTTTGAATGCTGCATGAATCTCGTGGGGGGCCGTGCCCCTTGCGACCCCCAGATACCTCCACTAGCTACCGAGTCAACGCGTGTGCCGTCTTCCCTGGTCTAGGCACCACTCAGCCTTGGCTCTTCCTGGAAGGCCAGCCGAGGCTCTCCCTAGCTCCCTGGCTTCTGCTGGGAGTGGGTGGGGATGTGGGCTGGGATGGGGAAGGGCATACCCCACCCAGCCTCTCCCTCTGCCTTTCTGTTCTCAAGACAGGGTTGGATCCAAGAAGGTGTCTAGTGCTTGGGCCTGGGGGCGGGGGAGGGTATCAGAGGACTCTGGGAGCTCCCCTAGTCTCTCCCCAGATGTCCATCTTTCTCAGGCTGTGCTCTGTCCAGGGAGCACCTCCCTGTGAGGTCCCAGAGCCTGCCTTGCACACTGATACCAGTTCCTCCATCTCATGGCCAGCTTGGGGCTCTTGGCACGCCCCCCCCCCCACCTTGAGGGAAGGAGGCATCTTGTTTCTTGCCATTCCCTGCAGGCCAGTCTTGTTCTCCTCCTCTGCCCCCCTGGGGAATAGGGAGGGTGGGAGTGGAGAGGGAGGACCCTGCAGGACTGGGAGGATTCAGCCTAAAGAGGCTGCCCGGAGGGCAGGGGGTGTGGGGGTCACCCTGCACCATGACCCCCAGGCCAGGGGAGTATCTGTGCTAGCCTCCCAGGCCCCTGCATCCCCCTGGAGCCCCTGCACCAAGACGCAGATTTGTTAAGATAGATGCTCCCCTCCACCCCTACCCTACTCGAGTCCCTGACACCACAGGTGCCCTGGAGCCCATGTGTGACTTGGCCTCAGTTAGCTGGGTGGGTGTCATCAGCCCTGCCTCCCAGGCCAGAACCTGCGGATGGGCCCAGGGTGCTGTTGGAGATCAACTTCAAAAGAGCTAACCCCCTTCCTGTACCCCACATTCCCTCTGTGAAATCTACCTCAGAGTCATACCCTCAGAAGGATGGGTAAGCAGGAGGCCAGGGGGTCCCCAGGGCTGAGGTGGGGAGCTTCCTACGGCAAGAGCCTGCTGCCCCACGATGAATCCAACTCCCCCCCCCAACCCCTGCTACCCACTGCGAGCCTCTCCCAGGTCTCAGCCCCGGGCCGGTGGCAGTGGGCGCTACCGTCAGTGCATGTACCATTCTGATCCAACACTTCCAGGCCCCCCTGCCTCCTCACACCCCTCCCCTCCTCCTCAGTGCAGGGGAGTGAAGAGGTGTGTCAGGCAGGAAGGGACCAAGGACTCCAGAGACACATGGCATTGTATCTTGAGTGTTCCCTCCCGGGAGGGGAAATGGGAAAGGGGGCCTGGAGAGGGAGGTGGGGGCCCCTGAGCTCTCTGAACAAGTTGAAAGTCCAAATAAAACTTACCTGTTCCATCTGCTCTTGGTCTGTGCCCTCCCTGGCTGGGGCGGGGAGAAAACCCTTGGTAGCAGGAGGTCTCTCAGACTCTCTCAAGGAACCACAACCACGGCAAGGTGGGCACTGGACAAGCAGGGGATGCATGGGGCGTCTGTGTTTTAGGGTGATTCTGGAGACGTGGGTATGCAAGTGGCCACAGATGACTTGTAACATGGAGTTTATTTAAAACAGGCATCTTGGGCGCCTGGGTGGCTCAGCTGGTTAAGCGTCTGCCTTCAGCTCAGGTCATGATCTCAGGGTCCTGGGATCGAGCCCTGCATCGGGCTCCCTGCTCAGGGGAGTCTGCTTCTCCCTCTACCCTTCCTCCCTGCTTGTGATCTCTCTCTCTCTCTCCCTCTCCCTCTCTCTCTCTCTCTCAAATAAATAAAATCTTAAAAAAAAATAAAAGATATCTTTTTTAAAGATTTTATTTATTTATTTCAGACAGAGAGAGCTTGAGCAGGGGGAGGAGCAGAGGGAGAGGGAGAAGCAGGCTCCTGGCTGAGCAGGGAGCCTGATGCGGGGCTCGATCCCAGGACCCTGGGACCATGACCTGAGCCGAAGGCAGCCGCTTCACCCCTTGAGCCACCCAGATGCCCTGGTAGAGGATGTCTTTGTGACAAAGCAGCCAGCCCAGCCCTGAGCAAGTGTCAGGGGCTGTTGAATTTTCCCTCCCAGCAGGTCCGGCAGGTAGAGGTTCCGAAGCCTTGGGGGTTCGGTAGCAGCTATGTCTTCCTGAAGTGATTTCAGCATGCCAGGAACCAGGCTGGACTCAAAAAGGAAGAATCTCTGTTCCACGTCCTTATGGTTCTGAGAGCCGGGGGAGGGGCTGGGCTCCAGGCTCAGCAACTGCATTGAAAGCCCCACAACCTGAGAGGTCAAAGCTAGGTCATGAACCTGTGACTTCTGCTCCAGTCAGGGCTGTGCCCTCTGTCTGCAGAAAAGGCCTGAGCTCTATTCACCAGCTCTGGGTGCCTTTCATTTCCACAGGACCCCTGCAGGCCAAGGGCTCACTTAAAAGGCTGGGGCAATTGCTCATCGAAGGCTGAGGTTCAGCTCCAGATGCAGGGCAAACATTCCTCCCCATTCAGTGCTAAGGTTCAAACCCCAGTGGGGAGATGTCCCAGCTTTCCCTGCTCCTCTGTTGCAGTTAACAGCTACAGCTGGCTTCTAAAAGTTCTTCCTACCTTGATTCCACCTGCAGCCAAATCCTGAGTGCCAAGAAAGGTGAGAATAGCCATCCCTATGGGACATGGCTTCATAAACCATGGAAAAGAAGGTTCTGGAACTTTCTGGAACATGGGCACTCAGTGCACCCTGGTGCTCTACCACCTCGGTCAGCTCCCGTGGAAGAAGGCAGCATCCAGGTTTCTGGATCTCTGGAAGCATTTGCTAGCATTTGAATGAATTAGGCGTGGTACAAGGACATGAGGCAAAGAGAAATCCCAGTCGTTGAGAAAGAGGGCAAAGGATGACTGGGAATGAACTACGGGCGGGGGCATGACCTGGGTAACCACTTCTGGTCCTTGGCATGTTTGAAGGTTAAGAGGGAACCCAGGTATCCTATAGCCTGGACATCTTCCTGGTCACCAGGGTGAGGGGTGCATGGGGACATAGGGTGCATATTCTGGCAGTTTGTCTCCTTGATTTCTAGGGACCTGGGACAGGGCTCAGGTGCAGGGCAGAAAGGTGCTGGGGGCTGGAAGGGAAGGGGGGAAAGGGGAAAGCTAGTGTGTCCCCAGCCCATATCCTCCAGAACCACCGGCTTTCATTTAATGCCCCCCGAAAGGAGAGGACATGAGAGGTGGGGGAGCTGGAGGAGGGCTGGGGAGCCCTGCCAACACTCATCCCTCTCCTCCCAGGTAGGATGGTGATCAGACAGGGCAGTGGCTACTCTGGTTACCTGTTACTCTGTGGGAGTAATGTGGGGGCCACCAGGGCCTGAGAGAGTGTGGGGGCAAAGGGATCCAGGTCACCAGGCTTCTGGAAAGATGAGGAGGCTGGGACAAATTTCACAGGGGCAGAGTGGAGGCAAGACCACTATTGAGGCAGGAGAAGACACCCAAGGGACTCACTGGCTCTTGCCAGCACAAACCCAGAGCCAGACGTGGTAGGGGTGGGGGAGATGCCCAGGGACCAAAGCTGTCACGGGTCTATCTCCAAGTGGCACAGTGAAGGGCCAGCGCCCAGTAACGTTCTCCCCAGCTCTGGCCCTTCTGCCTTCAGTCTGTCCTTCACCCACAAGCCACCTCCTCTCTGGAGACCCTGCCCACCCCCATGGAGACCACTGCCCCTCTTCTGGGTCCCTGTGCAGGCTGTCAGCTCCTTCCAGAAGCTGGTGTGTGTGAGCTCGCACGGGAGCGCACACAGGCCCGTGTGTGTGTGTGTAGAAGCTGATCGCTAACAAAGAGGAGGGGTGTGTGGGTGAGTCAGCCGTGTTAATGAGAAACAACTCACCCCGCTGATTAGGACTAATGAAGAAGAACAGAGGGGGTGACATCTTTATATAGGGTAGGGGGGAGCAGAACAGCTCCCCCAGTCCCACTTCTCCCTCAGCAAGGACAAGAACAGCAACTTTGGCTTCCGCACGAAGAATTGAGGTCAGACGCAAGGACGAACCTTCGAGAACAAGGAGGATTCTAATCGGGAAGGGGTGGGACAAGGTGTCTGGGGGCAGAGGCCCGCTCCTGTGGGGGAAATGTGAGAGATCCTCCAGCGCCCTGCTCCTATTCCTGCCCTTCCTCCAGTTTCTCTGTATCGATTCCAGAGAAATTCTGGGCTCTCAGGGCTGTGCCCCCGGGTTGCCTAAGTGCCTCTGAGGTCTAACCACAGCTGCAGGGCCGGGCGGGTGCTGGGGAGGATGCTCCAGGCTCTGCCGCGCCCATGGCAGCCTGGAGAGAAGGCTTTGGTTTGGGGCATTGGCTGTCTGTACAGATGGTAATGACCCAGGGAGGCCTGGCCAGGTCAAGGGCTGGAGGGGGCCAGAGTGGGGGGGGGGGACCTGGGCATCAGCTGGCCCTGTCCTTGTGGCAGAGGCAGATGCCCCTGAGAACCCACAGCTTCACCCACCCTCCATGCCAATGGAGCCAAGGGCAAGGGCACCAGGCGCGCCTCGCAGCTGTTCCAGTTGGCTGTGTGAGTGTGGGCATGGGGGGAGGGGGGGGAGAGGCTGGGAGTGGGGACAGGATGGGTGTTGGCCAACACCTCCTAATTTGCATTACCACTGACACCCTTCTTGACCAAGAAAATGGAGCCAGAAATAACAAGGGGGGGGGAGGTGGTTCCCTGGGGGGCTCTTGGAGGTTCTCTTTCCTTGCCTCCAAAACCCCCACAGTGTGGTGAGGGAGGCAGGAGGTCAGGCCTTTTCCAGCCCCATAGCTGGCCCCCGGCAGGGGCAATGCACCCACTGTCACTCCTCCCTCAGATTGGGCAGACACCCCATCCCGACCTCCCACTTCCTTCGGCCCACACACCTCAGACGCCCAGTCCTGCCTCAGTCCTTCTTCGGAGCAGCGTCCCCTCAGCCTTCCCTCCTCTGGGAACCCTCTCCCTGGGGGCCCTCTTGCAGCTCTCATGACCCCAGCTCTGCCTACCCTGTTCTCTTCAGTCTGGGTCCTGCTGCTCTGTCAGATTGGGCACTTCCCAGGGCAGGCCCAACCTGGGACCTGCTCAAGGGAACATTCTGCATGAGAAAT